GTAGGAAATATGGGTGGTTAGTTCAACAAATCCCTTATTCGTAGGAGGTTACCACTCTAACGTATGAATAGCAGATCAATTTGGGAGCTTTGTTTGTAATTTTATACATACATTAGTATCATGTAAAAGGTACGTGGGCAGATCACTCACGGTCAATTTTGATTAGAGCCGTCAAAATGGGCCGAAACCCGCGGGCCGACCCTTTTAAACCCATTTATTGGTGGGCTAGGGTTGTGAATTTCTGATCCATTTAGTTCGCGGGTTTAAGTGGGTTGGCCCAACAGGTTACGGGTTTAAATGGGTTGGCCCAACGGGTTGCGGGTTGGCCCGTGGGCCAATATACAATTAAAAAATTACAACAATTGCGAAATAATTATTATTTCTATAATAAATATTCAAATACAATGTTGAAACATATACTTTATGTGAAGGTTGATACAATATTTAGCAATTACTAGTCATGATTTACAAATAATCAATCAAAAGATTTAAGTAGATGTTTACTTTTATACAATGAATATTTTTGTTTCATACTTTTATAGTTTTCAAATTTTCGTATAACTAATACTACCTCCATCCCATTTTGTGTGTCTCCTTTGGTTTTGACACAATTTTTAATAAAGTGGTTGAAAAGGTAAAAATTATGGTTAAGATTTGAGTATATATAGTAAAGTGAAATGTTGTGAACCACATATTTCTTTCCAAAAAGGGAAATGTGACACTTATTTTGGGACAACCCAAAAAGGAAAGTAAGATAGATGAAATGGGACGGAGGGAGTATTTAATACTCCATATTTTTTGGAATATGGCCCACGGTTGGCCCGTGGGCCAACCCGTTTAACCCACGGGTTAGGTGGGTCGGGTTAGGGTTGTAGATATTTCGGGCCGTCACTAAACGGGTTGGCCCGACCCAACCCATATAAACCATAACCCGTCACGGATCGGGTTGACCCGTTTGACAGCTCTAATTTTGATCAAGCTATTACTTTGTATTCACACATATCAATATAGTCCAACAACTAAATATTATTCATTCATTATTTAATTATATTTACTACTACGTATTATTTATTCCCGATCAATGCATCTTCCATTCTTGTTTGCTTGATTCCCATTTCATGTGAGAATAATGGAATGACTTACCCATGTGGTAGCCCTCGATGTCATATATATAATAAAGAAATATCCTGTTTACAATAGGAAACTGGTAAAATACGGAAAGCTAATTAAATAAAAGAAAACAGGCACACCCAAGAAATACAATCATGGGAAAAATTAGAAGTACTAAAAATAGAACCAGACTTTGTAAGTCTATCTACAATACGACTGCCACAGTGTGTCCCAACCGACGATGCCAGACAGGTCCCGGAGCAACATGAGTAGCTAAGGCAATTGATGATGGATGAGGCAAGAAAATAAGATAAACACCACCTTTATTAGAAGCTCAAAGAAGCACCTCCCCCGAATTGTGGTCCTTAATGCAAATAGAGTTTTTATCAAAAATCACAAAACAATTACTATCGGCACATAATATTTGAATGGAAAGCAAATTATATTTAAGGTGAGGAACATGAAAAACAGATTTTAAATGAAGAGAGCGCGGCGGAGAAGGTAAGGCTAAGTCACCAACAGTCACAACAGGTAAATGAGATCTATTAGCAACCGTCACAGTTAGCGGTCCACAATAAATAGATTTATTTTATAAAATACCTTCAGTAGGGGTCATATGAGCGGAAGCGCCAGAGTCAGGATACCAAACAGTGGAGGAAGTTTCACCAGTAGGCACAACTAATGCGGGTGTAGATGGTTGATTAAAACGGGATGAACAATGGACGGCAGAATAACCTGGAGAGTGACAAATTTGACAGACGATGGGAGGTGGAACTGAACCAAAATTACTCTCAAAAGGTAAAGATCATGCAGAAGCATAGTTAGCACAAAAAATAGATGGTGAAGGAGTATAAAACAATGACCCAACTGAATTACAATTAATTGTACCGGGTATACCCATCATCTGCGCAAGAGGTCCTCGGCCGTAGGGCTGCTGTCCAGGCCCATAGGGCGGTTGCTGTCCGTAATGAGGCTGCTGTTGCTGCTACTCGCCGCCCAGTCCGTGACACCGATTGCCTCGGCCACGTGGCCCTCTGCCCCGACCACGCCCGCCTCGCTGCGCGGGCTACTGCTGCTGGTTCAGAGCCTGCTGCGCCGGCGGCTGCGGCTGCTGTCCCGGGCCAGCGGGTGGATGGTTGGGAGCTGCAAAAGCCGGGGCACCGAGGTTGGAGTCGAGGCGCTGTTGATAATGGAGCCGGGATTCTCGATGGACAAGCTTAGTGCATAGTTTGTCAAAAGTGAGGCCCTCCGGAAATAGAGTTAGAGGTCACACTAATGACTCGTATCCCGGACCCAACCCCAAAAGTGCATATTGCAAGAGATCATGATCAGAAATTGGAGAATTAATTGATGCTAGGGACTCAGCAATTTTCTGGATTTCAAGCAAATATTGTTCCATGGACTGATTTTCTTTATTTTTCATGTGTGACAGCATTTGTTTTAATTCCATGGATCGTGCCAGACTGGCAGCCATAAAACGAGCCTCTAATCGTTCCCATATGGCAGCAGAATTCTTTAATTGATGCACCTCAACAAGAATATCACGAGAGAGGGTAGCAAACAACCAAGAACGAACAGTCCGATCTAAACGCAACCAGTGATAATACACAGGATTCATGGTTTGGGTTTGAGATAAATCATAGGTGTATAATAGTGGGGCATGCAGGGATCCATCAAGTATACCCAAAAGACCATTGGAGACTAGGAAGGATTCAAACTGAGTACGCCAGGGTAAATAATCTTCAACAACAAGTTATATAATGGTCACAATAGTGGTGATAGAGGAAGCACCAAAACTCATACCTTGACCAAGAGTTGCAAACGAGGTGGGAATGGGAGGGACCTCCCGACGTCCGACCGGCCCAATGGTGGACGGAAGAAGCAATCCCGGAATGCCCGAGAGGGTGGAGCCGGTGTAGCGACGTTTGGCGGTGCTGCTGGACTCCCCGACGGCAAACGATGATTGCTGCGGCAAGCTCGGAACCGTAGGCGTCCATGTGAAGATAGGCGGGACCCATGAAGACGGCGGCGCAGAAATTGTTGTTGTAAACACCGAACTCTGCTGCTCGTTGAAGATGGAGAATGGTGCCAGAGTGGTGGAGGAAAAAGGATTAACCACCAGTGTAGCAACCGGCATGGAAACCGCGCTCAGCACATGCGGTAAGGCGGTTGCGTCATAAAGATGGCGGCGGTGACAGAGGAGGGCGCGGCGGCGGCGGTTTCTTCGGAAGACATAGGGCCGAAAAAAAAAATAATGTATGTTAAAACCCTGGAGCTCTTGATACCATGTGAGAATAATGGAATGGCTTACCCATGTGGTAACCCTGGATGTCATATATATAATAAAGAAGTATCCTGTTTACAATAGGAAACTGGTAAAATATGGAAAGCTAATTAATGCTAATTAATATTCTTAAACACACTATTATTTCATTCATATTCATATTAGAATAGTTTATTTTTAGCATAAACACTTATTTACTTGTGTTATTGTGAGTATCGAAATATATAGGGTGTATAAACTTGTATCCATTTGTCGATGAACAATCTCATAAGTAATGCTCAATATGTCTTTTCCTTTATGTTTACAGTTCTAGCATAGAGTGAAATCGCAAGTTGTTATTGGCTCACTTATGGATGTTGTGCAAGTTGTTATAGTATATCGTATGTTAACGTTCACTCGAAGTGTAAAAACATAATGTAAAAGACATTAATTATTTGTTCATGGCCTTCAATTACTCTTACTTTTCAGGACATGTATGTGATAACCCTTGCAAATTGCAATAGATGTTCGAGAATCAAATGCACCACCTTGTGACAACCTTTAATCATTGTTCAGTTCTAGTTTCTCTTCTTTCAATTTCAATGTACCTCCGACATCTTAGGTTTGCTATAACTTTAAATAAGTACTTCTAAGCTTAGCTTTTAGATTAAAAAATGCTAAATATTGTGTTTGTTAATCGCCGCTTCTAATAAAAAAAAGTGTTTTAAAGTTAAAAGCTAGAAGCTGGGTATTGGGTTCTTCTAAGTGCTTTTTGTTTTTGTTTTATTTGTAAATACTTTCAACTTTGAGGACAATTACGATGATATACATATTTTTTAGTTTTTTTGTATATTCCCCGGAACCTTTGTGTCACCGGTTGGTTTCTCATCTCACATCAACCTTCTTCCGATTCTAATCTTTTCTTTTGATCTTTGGACTGAGTTGGACACACTGCTATTATTAGTGTTCGTCCCACGGCGGCAGCAAAAAGCTCCGGTGGCTACGAAAAGTTTCAGCGATAGCAACCAAGAGAAGGGTCTATTGAACTAAAGAAGGGGGCATTCTATTTGCAAAGAAACCCAATTGATTTTATTGGACTATTATTTTCAATCTTTCACTCCATAAGTTACAATCTTTAATTGTAAACAAAGTTGTTGAAACTCAACCGGTGGTCTCAATGGCGGCGGCGACGAATTTGGGGGATGCGCGGTTCTTTTTGCAAATGAAGATGAGATGCAAAGGTTGGATTATTCTTGAATAACGAAAAGGTGGGACTATTTTAAGAAGACCTAAAAGATTGGATTATTAATTTCCATTTTCCCATGAAATGACAAATACGGAGTAATAACCCGTTTAATTTGTATTTTAAATGAACTTGAAATATGTACATAAGCTAATCTATGTAAAGTAAAAATTCTATGAAGTTTGAACTCCACGGTGCCTAACTTCCTATACAAAAATATGACGTCTAGTTGGGAGTGGCAGCAATTTGACATCTTAGAAATATTTCCAAGTGATTTTGTTTTATCATCAAAACGAATATTATACGGAGTACTTCATCTTATACGGAAGTATTAATTTAATAAATTATTCGTCAGTTGGCTTACAACACGTTGAGGAATCTCATAATAAATAATCCTCTGATCTGAGATAGAAACATGTGCCCTTGCAAGAACATGAACAACACGATTCGCAAACTTTCTACAAAAAGAGACAATAAAATTACTCTTTGCTTTTAAAATCTTCCTTATATCATCAATGATAAGGTGAAGGTTCGACGAACCCTCTCCTTTTATATAATACCCTGTACCACTGAAAGTGCGTCCGTTTCAACCTTCACCTTTTGCCAGCCCTCCTCTTCTGTTGCACGGATAGCATCCCATATACCTATAGCCTCTGTCTCAGCTACAGTCCATCCTGCCGTACTAGAGGCACCTACAGTTCGAAGAAAAGCTCCACTGTCATCTCTAGCAATCCATCTCCATGCTCTTTTCTGACCATCTTGGTCCACCGCTCCAACAACATTAATTTTGATTCTTCCATGTCTCGGTTTAACCCAATATTCCTTTCTTGCCCCGCCCTGAGCTGATTTAAACGGCCCCAGATCTTGTGCTTCTTTCCAGTTAGCCAGCATGCTAGCCGCTGTATTAAGAACGCATGATGTCTCCTGCACTTAATCATTCCAAACCGTGTTGTTCTTTCTCTTCCAAATACTCCACAGAATAGCCACAAACCTGCTCCTATCTTCCACGTCCAGCTTGTTGAACCGACTGGTACGCCAAGTTGCCTCCTCGGTTTGTTGCAACTCTGCAAATCCACCCATTGCACTCCAGGCTTGCTGGACACTGTCACATGATCATAGAGCATGCTCCACGAACTCCGAATCGCCGCCACACAGCTTGCATCCATGCGGTATCACCACCCCTTTTTCCTGAGGCTGTCAACTGCCGGGAGTGAGCCATCTAAAACTTGCCAAACAAAAAATTTAAATTTTGGTGGGACCTTAAGGTCCCATAATTGCTTCCACCCCTTCCAGCCCTCAACCTGGAACTCGCCCATAAGCGATCTATAACAACTCTTCACCGAATAATCTCCATTATTTTCCCTTTTCCACCAATAACCATCCTTACGGTCTTGGGCACTAACAGGGATACTAAGGATTAAGAGTCTATCCTCTTCATTAAATAAATTGTTTATCCGATCAACATTCCAATGCCTCCCCGTAATATCCCTGAAAGCTGCCACATTCATGTCTCTAATTCCGAGAGGCCGATGTGAAGTGATCTTCCCTGACCCGCGTCCCGGTAACCACGCATCCGCCCATACTTGTACCTTAATACCATTACCCACCCGCCTTCTAATATTATTTTTAATCACAGCCTGTGCTTCAAAAATGCTTCTCCAAATAAATGAAGGATTACTCCCCAATCTAGCATCTAAACAACTCCAATTTGGGAAATATTTTGCTTTTAGCACTCGGCTCATTACTAAAACCACATTACACAAAGCAATCGGCCTCCAATATTAGGAATTAGAACAATATTAGTTATATTTAATTCCATAGGCATGACCCCTGTATCAAAAATACCTGTACAAAGCCGCGTGATATCTGGACCTACTATGTACCAAAGTTTTTGGAAAAAAGCTAGATTCATCCCATCTGACTCAGGCGCTTTCTCTGGATGCACGTCAAAAATGGCCTCTTTAACCTCCTCTGGACTGATAGCACGGGTAAGCCTCCCATTCTGTCTACCCTAAACTTGGGGGAAAACTCTACCCTCCCACTCTGTTGTACTGCTCGAAACTGGACTAAATAGGTCAGAAACATAATTTTTAATAATGCCTGCAAGCATACCTCTATTCGAGACCCACTCCCCATCTTCCATCTTCAAGTCCCCCCTTTTATTTTTACGCCGCCTCTGTTAACTGCATTATAGAAGAAACAAGAATTAATATCACCTTCTTTTAGCCAAAAATCTTTTGTTCGATGTCTTCAATATTGGTTCTCCTTTTCCATCAATGTTTGAAGCACCATCCTCACTCTAACAAATTCGGCCACACTCCCCTCATCATCTCGACCACATAGGTCTTCCAGCCTTTTTTAAAATGCCTCTATTTGATGATGATAACCTTTTGTATGGCATTGATCCCACCACAATAATTCTTTTCCCCAAAAAAGAATTCTCTCATTCACAGGCATATGTTCGCCTACTCCCAAACTATTAATTACTACTGCTCTACATCTTTCCTCCCACAGTCAATTATTCTCAAATATAAATTTCCTAGCCTTCCTCTTTCGAGTAGTTGGAACAATACACATCCACAGAGCCATATGATCACTAACTGGGGCTTCAACCATCGTTGCTCTAGCATCCGAAAATTTATCCCACCACTGATCATTTACAAGAACCCGATCAAGTTTCTCCTCCACGCAATACTGTGTCCCCTTTCCTCGCTCCCATGTCCATTAGTATCCATCAAATGGAAAGTCTCGTAGACCGCACGACAATAAAGCTTCCTGGAAACCACGCATTCTCCATACAGGATGAGGAACTCTTCCTTTCTTTTCTGATTCATATAAGATATCATTAAAATCCCCAATAACCAACCATGACAGAGAATTATTATCCGCCAAACCCTTCATCATGTTCAAGGCCACTCGCCTATGAACCGTCTCCGAGTAAGCATAATAACAAGTTAACTGCGAGTCCATATTGCCCGTCGATGAACTCACCTTGCAATCAATGAAGTTTGGGTTCTCTTCGATGACCAACAACTGCACATCATCATTCCAACCGAGAACCAGCCCCCCACTCCTACCATCACTATCAGTTCCCGCTGTATTTGCGAACCCTTTCGCTTGAATAATCTCTTTAGGCCGCTGACACCTCAATTTAGTCTCCATCAAGAACACAATCGTCGGCCGGTGTTGATGAATAATATCCGACAACCCTTGAACAGTGGCCGGATTACCCAAACCTCTACAGTCCCAACTCAAAATATTCATGGAGCCAAACCTATATATTATCCGCTGAGATCGAAATCAAAGTCACTCGATTCACACAGTAGCAAAAACGGAAAATCACCCACCTGGTAAATACACAAGGCAAACCGAATTCAAAATCGCAAGAGTAGCAAAGATACTGAAGCCAAAGGCAATCTCACAAAGCCACCAAGCAGCAGAAAACAGAGGAAATCGCCAGACACGAACAAGTCGCCCGAAAAAAAACTCCACCACAATTTTTCTGTAACTTAAATTGACGCCATCATTTGTTGAGAAGCGATGGCCATGGCTGATCCAGGAACAGCAGGCGGCGACCGTGCCCAGAAACCCTTGCGCTCCTTAATCCACTATTTTCTATTATTTCCAAGTGATATATTTATGAGTTTTTTTACATAAATATTACCAATAATATTTGGGATTACAAAAAAGTGACTATTCATAAGGAACTCGTACGACAACCAAGGAGTAAAAGTAGGGCAAATAGTCATACTTTTGTTAGTGGGGTTTAAGGTAGTTATATTAATGTAATTTTTTCTTTATTTTATTTATTGTGATCGAGACAAATAGTTTAACTATTCATTAACTACTAAATAGATATGGCATATAAATGTTTCTATTTCTAAAGGGAAAAGTAATTAAAATATCCCAAACTTTGAAGGGGTACAAAGTAAACACCCCAAACTTGCATATGTAATTTAAAAACCCCAAACTTTATATAAAAAGTAATTTTATATTAGCACCATGATCATGCATTATTTCTTTCATAAAAGTTAATTTTTGATGTTAATTTCATAATTTAAAACATCTTAGCATTCATGAAGACACGGTTGACATTATAAACTTTCATTGTAAAATAAATAATATTACCCTCACTCTATATAATTGCATTATTTTTTATTTGTTGTTTTAAATTATGCAATTAACACCACAAATTTACATTTTTGAAAGAAGTAATACATGACCATGGTGCTAAAATAAGTTTTGATATAAAGTTTGGGGTATTTAAATTACATATGAAATTTTGGGGTATTAATCTCAAACTCTTTTAAAGTTTGAGGTATTTTAATTATTTTCTCATTTCTAAAAGCTGAAAATAAAAACCTGAAATAGACATTAAATTAAATCATTAATATGCTGTTATATTGATTAGCATGGTTTACAATTTCACCATGCCAATACTTTAATTCATTAAGCCAACCAAAATATGAAAAATGTAACCAATGCAAATATCATGTAAACGGTTCCCTCACTATTTTGATGGTTTTACTTTTTTCAAATGTTTGAAGTTAATGTGATGGATAAAGTATGCACGAAACTTTCAGATTTCGCAACTTATAAGTCATTCCCCGTAAGCAATTGGTTGTTAGCTTTACTTGAAAGCGTTCAATGAGAAGACATTGCTTACAAGTTACCAAGAAAAAGGGAGAAAGCGACGAATGGGTATGGTATAAAGTATTTTGGTGACGGAAAAGATTAGGTGACGAATAGGTATGCTATACTCCCTACGGTGATGGAAAAGATAAGTGACGAATCGGTATGGTGTAAAGTATTTTGGTGACGAAAAAGATTAAGCAACGAATAAATTTGATTTTACTGTATAGTACACTGTTGAAATACTGTTTGACACTGTTTTGTAATGTTTTGCATTATTTTGATGTAAATTATTTGCCAAATAAGAAAAGAAGAAGTGTGAAGTTAATTTTGGACCTACCCAAAAAGGAAAGTGAGAAATTCAATTAAAACCGGAGAGAGTATTAAACATATGGAAAAATAATCCAACATATTAGTGTTCTTCCCACGAATAATTAATCCAACTTATTAGTGTTCTTCTCATATATATTTATCATAAATATATAGTCCAAGTTAAAATGACCCATTTTGCACGAAATATTTGAGATATACATGGTCTCGAATATTAGTATTGACTCATCTCACCTCTCGCCGCGACTCTTCCACACTTTTCCTAATATGTGACTGACATATAATACACGCAAATGCTTTGGTATATACTATCGTATATGGTCCAGGATTCCCTGGTCCACGCACTCCACGGCTCACTGATTTTTTATTTTTTTCCCTTTTTTCCCCTCCCCGTTTAATACCCTCCAACCCCTTTCTCACTTTTTACCCCATCTAACCAACTACTACACATAATTGGGAGTCTAAAACCTCCAAATTTAGCATTTAGGACTCTTAAGGGCGCAACCCAACCATTTTTAGGTTCTAGGCCAAGATTTATTATTATTAACACGTTTGTGACCTAGTGGTCCCATTGTTTTTGCTCAATCCTTAGCAATATGTAAACTATGTCAGCTAACTGCGCCCTATATTTGTACTGAATTTATCATATCCATGCAAAAAAAAAATGGAATAAGAACAATTCGTAGTAGGATTTAGGAACTTGGTGAGCTAGACGTAGTGAACTGATGAATCTCTATCCATAACCTACTTGTAGATCTACACTGAAGTCTCCTTGTACCGTTATACGTTACTGTTCTCATCCATTATTGCGGGGTTGGTAGCTGAAAGCGAATCCTAATATAAAAATCAGATATTTAGATGGCCGGCGCGCGGGATATGTAGTATTAGTAGTGTCACATAAGCTACATGCTAAACTATACGATTAGCAGATATACCCAAAATGATCACTAAAGATAAAGAGTAGATTGACGCGGAGTTTATGTTAAAATATTGTTACATTATTATATTGTTATTTATATCAACTTCTCTATATGGAGTAATTATTGGCCGACATAAGTGTTGACAAGAATGTGTAAGAGATCGAAGACTAGATTCATCCAAAAGGTCACAAATTCACAATGGTCAGCAGGCCTGATGGTCAGGATATTTCACATTTGCGACTTGTGAGATCTCACAGTAATTACCAATTTAGCATGTACAGTTTAGTCCGAATAGTTTTCATTTTTTTTTCATTTAAACATGTATCTTTGAATAGTCATTGATCGCCGGAAATAGTTTTTTTTTGCAAGCCGGAAATATTTATTAGCTTCATTGTATATAAAAAATGTACCATGCATCTAGGGGTCATGTTCGTCGGTTCGATTTCGTCAGTGTCAGTTTTGATTAATTTTGGCCAGATCGGTTTTTAATTGGTCCGTTTTAGCAACTTTTAGGGCATATGAAACCGAAAGTCGGAACAAAAAAATTGGGTTGTTTTGGACGATTTGTATCGGTTTCAATTGATTTTAGCTTAGTTTATTCAGATTTTGTCGACTAATTTTGGTTTTGCCGGTTTGTTTAACCCAAAAGTATAAACCATAGACCGAATCAACACGAATTAGTCTGTTGCGGCAGTTGGTTGTAATTTTAGTCGATCAATTTTGAAGGTTGATTTCGGTTTTGCTCGTTTCGATTTCAGTAGGTTTGTCGATCAATTCAGTTTGGTATATCGAACATCGAAGAAAAAAACTATTAGGCCCAAGTACTTATTTACCTGGCCTTCTTACATTCTTCATGATCGATCATGATTTTGTAATAACATATTTTATGATCTCATTTGTAGGTTTTAATTTTTTGTTGACCAATCTAATGAAAAGTAAAACAAAAGTTGTTTTTTTTATGTAACTTTACTCACTTGCAGATTTAGTCATGTAACTAATAAATCATTGCAATTTAAGGATAACTTTACAGACAACAAATACATTTTCCGACTGTAAACTCACCAAAAACACTATCTCTGGCGTTGAATTGTTTGCCGCAAAGTATATTTTCCGATGGAAAATTCCTTAATCACTACAAAGAAAAACGGGATTAATAGGGATTTTTGGCAGCGACTTTCTAAATTTGGCTTAAATTTTGGCAGAGATATGCCAAATCCGTGCCAAAAACAGTTTGGCTCAAGCTATTTGGCACGAAAAAAACGAAAAATCTGTGCCAAATCCGTGCCAATACCATAATTTTTTTGTAGTTGAAGTTGCAAAAATTAAAGTTATCAGTTACATGACCAAATCTACAACCAAGTTATAAGAAAATATATTTAAAAGCTTCTAGTAGATTTATGCAAACAATAACAATGTTTTCCTAATTAAATAGATAGAGTGATTTAGAGCTACAGGTGAATTAATAATAAAATAGTACATCAAGGTTAACTGTTTTTTTAAAGAACCTAAAACAAAGAGTCATATTTGCAGGGATTAAGATAAGGATGTGAATACTATATAATTATGTTACATCTATTTAACTGTGGTAAATTTTCAAAATCTTAACTTTTTAATTGTTTTATTAATACTGAATGAAAAAGATATTAATGGTCAAACTTGTGCATTGGAAAACGGTGAAAAGTTACCGTTAAATTAAAAAAGAATGAATGAAGTAATTAATACATTGGTATCTTATTCGTCAATATGAATAGTGGTGGACTCGGGCCACCCGGGATCGGCCCGGGACCGGCACGGTTCCGGTCCGACTCGACCCGGTGGCTCGACCAGTGACCGGTCTGGGTAGGCCCGACCCGAGGGGTTTCCGGTCCGGGCTCGGGTCACCCAAAACATGACCCGGCCGGGCCCGAACCGGCCCGAGGCCACCACTAAATATGAATGCCTTTCGTTTAACGTGATTCGTAAGGGACTTGGCTCACAAAGAGCGGTGATCATGTTTCCATTATGTAAGACGTGTAGCCCCTTTGATGACTTTGTTTTTCATGCGCTGAATTGTGTAATAATAAGAAAAAGTAAGGTTAAAGTCACTTTTCTGGTTGTATTGGTTATTTGGCTGAAGTACTATATATGACCATTTTAGCTAATTTTCATACGGAGTATAATTTTTTTATTTATTTTATTAATAAAATATATTTCAAATATAATTTATTCTTAAATCATCATAATCAGCTAATACAGCCACTTCAGCCAGAAATTCATAAATTTCAATAGAATCAGCCGATTCAGCTGATTTCAGTTGTACCAAACGGGCTCATAATCAGAAAATTAATAGTGACCTCGTAGAATTTTTTTGGTAGTCAACATATTTTCTCACTTGGCTGTTATATACTTATATTGGTGTAACCCCAAACGAGATTGACTATTTTTCCTTGTTGAATCCAAATCCAAGAACTTTTTGGGTTGTCATATTTCACATTTTACCATTAACTTGGCAAAAAATCAATTCACTGTGGATTGGTAATCTGGTAATTTACGAGTTTTTTGTTTATTATTACGTACTACGTAGTACTCCGTATATTATATTAGAACTTGTATACTTAGAGGTTTATCCTTCTATATATATAGTTTTTGGCACTATTGCTAGATCATTTGATTTTTCATGTTCAACTTTCCAAACCTCTGATTAATCTTTGTTGGTCTACTTTTACTTTGCACTGGTATTTGAGGTGGAGTTCTCGCACGATAATGTATTTTATTATTTACTCTATCATGGGTTACGAAACGTAGAAACAAATCCATATCCGTGGTTTGTACAATATTAATTATATTTTAATAGATAGAGAAATGCCCCTAGCTATATATGGTATAGTATTAGTATATAATGATGAACATATTATATGGTAACATAATTAACCATCTCTTTGATCTAATAACTAAATAATAATCATCATCATCTTTATATTTCCCCATGCATACTCAAGGTGCTCTTCAATGAAAGAAAGTCATGCATGCGGGGTGTAGTGTATGGGCCTTGAAGCAATCCTGAAGCTATGGAACGATATGCGGACTCAGTCAAATGCATTCCATCCCAGCTAACATACACTGAAGGGTCATCACACACCGTTGACCTTGCCCCGCCACATTTAACTGAGGAGTCATAGTTATATGGACCCCCACCTCCACAACATGCACTTGTGGTACTTGCAAATCCTGTTACATGCATCACATAAAAAAAATCATCAATTAAATATCACACCTTTTTATTTGGTAAAATTGTCTCTGTTAGGGATAGGGGCGGAGCCAGGACACTGAGCCGGTACAAAGAATATTTTTGGAAAAACATTTACACGAAAATTTTTACATTGAAAATACAGATATTTTTTAAATTTGAGCTGGGTCAGGACTGAGGTTCTCCCCAGCTAGGCTGCTGATTAGGGTGGAGTCAGGGAGAGACTGAAGGGGACCTCGACCCTTCCACAGTTCCACCCTTCCATAATAAGAAGTACTCGGTATGTTTTACTAGCACATACTCCGGATATGTCAAGATATTATTGTTTGGCTTCTCTGAAAAATAATTTTCTTAAACTTAGAACCCCGCTCTAGATCATATTACTGACTCTACCACCGTTTCTCTATGATATACTCCTTCCGTCCCGTTGGAATGTTCTCACTTTTCTTTTTTGGATGTCCCAATGGAAAGTTCTCATTTCCCTAAATGGAAAGTTATCCTACATCAAAACAATGTCAAACAATGCTAAACAGTGTCAAACAGTGTCAAACAGTGTCAAACAGTGTCCAAACAGTAAAGTTTACCCCTAATAAATTTATTTCCTTAATATGTTTGTAGGTCAAATCGGGAACATTCCAACGGGACGGAGGGAGTATGATCATTCAAGCATAAAGAAGTAAAAAAGTGTCTGGGAGATGAAAATTACCAAATTGACTAGGTGTGCGATAAATTCTCATTGCCGCATTGTAATAATCAGCATAAATAATAATGACATTAGGATGAAGTTGGCGAAGGCGGTCAAGTTCATCCTGAAGCAGTTGATTATGGATTTGAGAGAAGTCATTAAGCCAGTTAATACAACCAGTTTTAGCATCATAATCCTTCTTATTCGTAGTAGAGAATTGAGTGAGGTAGGCAGCTGAGCATCCAATAGGCAAATTTCCGGGAACTATTAGTGTTTGAGCCCCAAGTTCAATCAGTTCCTGCATATATCAATCGGTCATCCCCGATTATTTTAGATGATAAAACTAAGAGCCCGTTTGGAGAACTCTGTTTTCGGCTTATCAGGCTTATCAGCCAGTTTTTTCACCAAACACGTAACTTTTACTTTCGCGCGCTGAATTGTGTAATAAGCCGAAAAAGTAAGGTTGGAGTTACTTTTCTGGCTGTATTGGCTGAAGTTACTGTAGAGGACCATTTTAGCTATTTTTACATATAATTTTTTCTTTAATTTATTAATAAAATATATTTTTAAAATATTTTTTTCTTAAATCAGCAGAATCAGCCAAAACAGCCACTCCAGCCAGAATATCATAAATTTCAGCAGAATCAGCCAAAACATCCGATTTTGGTGCTACCAAACGGGCTCTAAGTAAACAAAAGTTTCTTTTACTATGGTAAATAAAAGTTAATTACGTATTAGGAAAAGACATATACTCACATTAATAGCTAAGCTTATAGCGTTAATAACGTTTGGGACATATGTGACGACCTCTTCCTTGGAATGGCCTTGCAGAAAGGGATGATTGTAATCATTTCCTCCGATTTCTCCCATTAGAATTAGGGAATTTTGGAGATATTCTTTGCAACCTATTTAAAATGGAAAAACAACTTAGTCCAGAATTCCATCTCGATAAAAGAATTACTGAGCAAATGAGCGAAATTTGGAGCATGCACAAATCAGATGGTCTTTTTGTGTAGAATTCTTAGCTTTGTACTCTCATACAATTTATTTTTCGATCCTGTATTTCACTCAATCGTGGTTGTAATTCTCATGCAATAATAATTACTATTTTATTATTGAAATTTAAATAATTACGGATTATAATAAAAATTGCTTACAAAATGTACCATATTAGATCGAGTAGTAATTGTAGTAATTAATAACTTTCCGTAGTTATTTTTACGTTCAATTTTTTACATTTAAATGACTGTATAATCACATTTTTGTAAATGTACGGAGTAATTTATTTGATCAACACTTTTATAAAAACTATTCGCATATAATTTGTTTACTTAATTGCGTTGATTGTAGTCATCCTACCAATTCAGACTTTTTGAAGTATGATTGATTAGCCTACGAAATAGTTGGTGAGGAAAGAAGACCAACCCGTCACCCACTTAAGAATAAACTAACAAAAGAAGCCGTCAAAGTCAAATACTCATCAATTCAAGCTATGATGAGATGACACTACGAAAGTGCATGGCCCGATCTATTGTCATTAGACACGTACTATTAATTAATTATTACCTTAATTGTTTTTTTCTGTCTAGGAAGAATGTTTCACAAGTATGGGAATAATGGGATCATCATCAACTCGTAAGTGCTGATCGAGAGGATTCCATTCATATTTCCATTACACTGTCAAAACGTTAATATAATGCAAGTAGTCATATAGAGTATCTTTTACGTATCTTCTACCTACTCCGAAAATATTTGGTCCTTAAATTCTAGTTGAAAGCGAAATGGTTGAACTTGAAAGAAAAGTTGAAAGCTTAGTTGAACTAGAAAAACAACCAAATACATAAATATAAACAATTCTTATAGTGCTTTTTTATATGCTCTCCTAGACTTTTTTTCGAACCCAAGTCATTTGTGTATATATTTTGGAGGATTCAAAATAAATCGGGCATGGTAAAACAAAAGTGGTATTCCTAGACAAGGTCTTGGTCCTAAGATCAAATCGCGACCATTTTTTTTAATCAAGATCAGGATAGAGACATATTTCTCGATCCAGATCGGTTTAAGATCGGGGATGGGTATATAGGTTCTCGTCCCGGACCACGAGCCTCACTTTTTGGGACTGACAAACCTACCTGGTTTCGATTCTGATCCAATTTTTTGCAATACGTTCATTGGGAATCAACTTCAAGCATGTACAATGGAGTCCATTTAAAAGATGAAAAAAGTCAAAGGGGGGATTATATTGGGGGATGGAGAGTTAAAAAAAATCACAAACTACGATTGGGATCGGAGAGTGGATCGGAATTGAAATATATATATATATAGGTCCCGATCGCGAACCTCAATAATATTTGTTAGGACCTGCCAGTCTGGGTTCGAACATGTCCGGAATGAAACAGTGTTCATACCAAGATTTTCCTATAAATGGTTGGAATAAATTTAACCTCTTAACTCATTGATTAAACTTAAAAGTGCATAATTAGATTCATTTTTCTAGTTAAACTCTGTTGGCCGAATTGAGAATCTTTAATTTGAATTGAAAAGAGCGATTCATTTATATAATACTCGATATATATGAATAGCCCAAGCCCAACCGTTTACCATTTTTGCTGTTTTGCACATTCTGTCCGAAAGAAAAATATAATAGGTACCTTTTTGTATATATAGAAATGCACTTTCATGCTTATAGCTAGTGACTAACATGGGTCTAGTTACAGTGTCACCGAATTACTTCATATATCCCATGTGTAAAGAAACTCTATGCGGAGTATTTTTTTATATAAGTCAATCTTTACATTTTGTATGATTAAGTTAACGAAAAATAATTCCATATGCAAAGAATTACATATACGGAGTAAAAAGTCGTTATATTAGTCCAACTAATTAATATTTCGTCTCTTTAAAGACATTAATGAATGATGAGGAACTTGTGACATGTTTAAGTTAATAATATTTGCATCTCTTTCTTCAAAAAAAAAATTGCATCTCACAACGTGAATAATGGTAAATATTTCTACACCTTTCATGACCAAAAAAACTAGTACAGCCATCACCCTTATCATGCACAACTAATTGGAAAGACATAAAAGTTGTGGCATCTGCCCGTGACATGCACGGGAACTGCACGGGTTATTTATTTATTTATTTGTTAGACAAATTTATTTTTCTATAGATAATTTATTTTTCCTTTTTTTCGGAATATAATTTATTTTTCCTTTAAAAAGATACGGAGTATTTTTTTTTTTTTTGCATATTTTTTTGACAAAAAATTCCTAATAAGACTAAAATAATTATAAAGTTCATAAATAGTACTCAATAATTATAAATAGTACTAGAGTAGTACTACCTCCTTTTTCTTTTAATTGCAACATTGGACTTTTTGCACTATTCACATATTCTACTTTGACTACATTTTATTTATTAATGTATTATAAAATAAATTTTTAAAAAATATTGTTAAATTCTTCTCATTCTAAATTTTCAAATTATGAATTTTTTAATTTTTTTACTAATAAAAAATGAAAAATATTGATGGTCAAACTTGTGCATTGGCAAACGTGAAATGTTGACTGTTGCAATTAAAAGAGAACGGAGGAAGTACTATCTTATTTCAAAATATTACTCCCTCCGTCTCATTTAAATCGTTACACTTTCCTTTATGGGACGTCACATTACTCCTTTACGTTCCCTTTTAGACAACTTTTTTACATTAAATGTCCTAACTATCCTTCACTACCCACTCATTTTTTACATTTGAGTGGATACCATTAATTCCCTCAAAAGTCAAATGGCCTGCAAGATATTTGTTCTTCTCTTAATTGAGCTCCTAAAATACCGTGTCAAAAGCAAACATCAAGTTTTATCCGGGACGGAGGAAATACTAAATATAGGACTGAATAAGTCCTATTTGAAAAATAAAACATATTTTTTTGCTATTTTTGCGTGTATGTTTTAGTTAAAAATTTCTATATTTTTCCGATCGAACTTACTTGATCCAGTTCTGCATAGAGAAGGAAGCATTTGTTTGAACCATTCCAATTGAGTCCCCAATGAAACGTTTGTGTCGGGATTAACGACTCCTCTTTCCACAAAATAAGAAACATCTAGTGCGGTGGCTCCGGCCACCGCGAAATTCACGCCTTCAATGAACTGTTCGCCGGCGTTACCGTTTTTCACCGCCACGGAAGGCGGCAGAAGCGGTAATCCCATGCTCTGGGCTGCACCGTACAGTACAACCAATAATATTAACATTTAATTAATTGTACGTACGAATTATACATATTCTACGTGTCATGAAAACATTTTCTACGTACCTATAAAGTCAACGACGAGACGACCGTCGGAGAAGCGACCGGTAGGGTGGTGGAAATAGGTCTCTCCGTACGGAAGGACGCCGGAGACGACGTTACTGTTCGATTTCGAAAGGCGGACTAAATTTCCGGTATCGGCGAGGGAGTCGCCGAAGCTAATGATCGACCGGTACTGGCCATGAACGGAGCAATTTGAGGCTAACAATAATAAGCCGTAGACTACAGAAATTAACTTAAAAGCCTTAGAAGAAGAAGCATCCATGGAAAATGCACAATTATTGTTACTTCTTGCTCTACTTTTGTTGATAAAAAAGATCAAAAGGAGACTATTATTTGTAATGATGGAAATGGCTTATTATTACAAGTGTATTTTTACAAGAGGCTTTGCACATCAAAGTCCCCTGCCGAATCTGTTTCTCTGGCGCACATTTATAGAGGGTGGAGCTCACCTACCAAGTCAAAATAGGACACTAAAGTAAAACTCCCTTATCCGTATATAAGGGCCTACCTGCGACTGTGCGAGTAGCATAGCTTCTCTGACTGAGCAAAAAGAATGATATATCTCAAACTCGCCTAAAACATTATCAAAAATATTTTATAATTATGGTTATGCCGACAAAACGACATTATTGCTTGATGATATCAATTTGATTTGATGGTCATTGATGAAATTAGGGTTTTTTATAACAATATTATTAAAATAAAACTTATTTACATAAATATGACTACTCATTACTACAACGTAGTGTTGTAGTAACTTAAGTTCGAAACTTGAACATGAATTACTATGTTCTCATTACTACTCTAGTAACTAATCATATTTTTGTAAACCATCTTTATTTTGGTCATATTAATGTAATTATTTCATGAAATTACTCTTGTACAAAATGGCAGTTATAATGCCATATTAAAGTCTGGCAATGCAAAATCTGACGGTAAAATTAATTGTTAGGAATAGCTCACTCCTAACAATAGTAGCTCACTCGTAGATTAGGTGCGTAACATAGTATCGTTGGAGGAGGGCGACCTCATAGTGATTGTAAAGGGGTAGTTTAATTTTTGTACTCTAGTGGTAGCAAGTGTTGTAACAAAACTCTCCCAATGGTCCAAAAATTAAACCATATCTTAGGAGTCTCTATAGTAAATGCCCTCACGTACTGTTCCCATCCTAGTTAACCACCTCAAATTGTCCGTCAATTTGAAGATGATAAACAGTGTGTTGGGGAAAACACGACACCCCGACCTTTACCAGGATCACGTGCTAAGAAAAAAAACTTTTGTATTATATAATTGAAATTTACAAGAGAGTGTACAAACGAACGAGTTTCTCACTTCACACTTTCTAGTTGAAAATACTCACTCTTCCTCACTTATGAGAAGCCTTTCTTTCACACCACAAATGAAAGGCTACACCATCTATTTATACTACTCACAAAGGGGTAGAGATTCCCTCTCTAGAATCTTCCACCCACCTCTCCACATTCTAGATTCTTTCAAGGAGCCTCCACAAGCTTCCATTATCTTCTTGAAGAATCTAGCTAGATGACTCCACACTTATTTAGAACACTCTAGACTACTCTACAACCTTCTACACATTTCTAGAGATTTCTACATTTCTCTAGAGACTAGAGTATTCTAAAAGATTCTATAACATTCTACACACATCTAGAGAATATTATATTTCTCTAGATAATTCCACAATATTCTAGAGAATTCTACTAATCTCCACATAGTCCTAGAATTCTCTAGAATTCACAAAGTATTTGGAAATATTGAATAACATCCTAACAATTCCTCCCTTAATTCATATTTCCAAATATATTTTAGTGATCTCCGAAAATTTGACTTTCTTTTCCTTGACTCCTCCGGCGCGTCTTCTTTTCACTGCACTGCCTTCAAAGAAGCAAACATTCTTCTCGTTTTTCTGTCCTCTCATGAGCAAGTGTCTTCCCTTAAATACCTTGCACCACTTATTTGTGCCAAAATACTTACACCCCTCTAATGTCAATGCACCCAACGAGATGACATTAGCTTTACTCGAAGGCATGTAGCTCACATTGTGAAGAATGTGGCTTGAACCATTATGAAGCACCATCTTTATGCTTCCAGAACCTTCAACCTTTAACTTCTCGCCGTTAGCTAAGTTGAAGTGACCGAACTCTCCATTAGTGTTCAAGGTCTCAAACATGGCTTGAACACGACATATGTGCATTGAGACAGCGCTATCCATCACCCACTTAGATTTGGCAACCTCTTCACTTGTTGCTAAGTAAACATCACCGTCATCTTCATCGCAGACCGCATTGGTATGGGAGTCACTATTATCCTTGCTTCGAGATACCTCCCTAAACTTTTTCAAGTCCTCCCTCAATTCATGACATCTCCCTTGAATGTGACCCCTTTTCCCACAGTAATAGCACTCTATGTCACTTAGATCTTGATGCGGCCGAGACTTTGATCTCCATCTAGACCTTGCTCTCTTGAGAGGTTTCTTCCTCGCTCTCGTTCTCGTTCTCCCACAACTAGTAGGCGATCTCCACTTATGTTTACATTGTCATTCTTTAACATCCTCTCACTCTCACGCAAAGTTGTCGTCACCTCATCCAGTGTGAGAGTTGTCCTTCCTACAAGTAGAGTTTGGACCAATGGTTTGTAGGACTTCGGTAGTGATGCTAATAACAACAATGCTTGCTGCTCATCTTTGATCTTGTCATCTGCATTCATTAGTTGGCATACAAGTTGATTGAACATGTTTATGTGATCATAAAGATTACCTCCTTCATCCATTTTGAGTGAGTACAACTCCATCTTCAAGCATAATTGATTAGTCAGTGACTTCGATGCATAGATTCTCTTGAGATTGTCCCACAACACCTTTGGTGTTGTCTCCTTCAAGTCTTCAATACACTAAACCAAATCTCAGGAGCAACTGCCAATCGGATTGTACTCACAACCATCCTCTGCATCACGCTCCACTCTCTATCACTCATGGAGGTAGGCTTCTCTTCATCTAGAGCTTGATCAAGACCTTGCTGCACCAATAGGTCTTGGATCGTATTCTGCCACATCGTAAAGTTGGTCTTCCCATCAAAGAGTGGGAGCTCAAACACCTTCGACATGTTTGATCCCATCACACTATCACGAGATCTTTCTACTGAGAAGCCTTCTAGAAGAATAGAGAAGCCTGTGGACACTTCTTGGAAGAATCGAGAAGTATAGTGTTGTATAGAGAATTCTAGAGAAGCTTTGAGGAGAGTATAGTATAAATAATGGTGAGACTCCTCATTCTTGAAGAGACCTTAGAAGTGAGCCTAAGAGAGAGAGTCATGCGAGTGAGGGCCTAGAGAGAGAGAGCCTCCTTGAGGGATGTAAGAGAGGAGCCTCAAGGAGAGCTCTTGAGTGAGGGAGAGCCTCCTTTAGATAGGAGAGTGAGAGTGAAGTAGTCCTATATGCAAAGAGTGATGTGAGCTACCCGTTTACTTGTAAAATATCTCTTGTACATTTCAATTGTATAATACAAAGTGATATTGTTAGATTGAATCTTTGTGTTACGAGTGGGTGGGTGAATGTACAAGAGTCCTTTGAGCTGGTCATCCTGGAAGAGGTCGCATGATTTTGTCGTGGGAATCAGTTTCATCTTAATTTTTGTGATGGTAGAAGTGTTGGTCGAGGCATTCGAGATCGTGCTCTTTGATGGAATGATGGACTTCACTATGGAGCTTGGGTCATACATATGTGGAGCAGAGCGATGGAATGTATTGTGGGTGTGGTTCTCAGTCTGGTCCCATGTGTTGGTCTGTTAGTGGTGCGTTGTATCGAAAGTCTTCCTGATATTGTGGTGGTCAGGCGGCGTGTCCCATTGGTAAACAACATCGGTACAAGGAGAATTGTAGGTCAAGTGTCGGTGGAGAGGAGATCTTCTTGAGAACTTCACGTACAAGGTTTGGTCTTCGAATTTGATCTACTGTTGGTACGTTGTATCGAAAGTCTTCCTGATACTGAGGTGATCAGGCGGCGTGTCCCGTTAGTAGATAACGGCGGTACAAGATAGTTTGGTGGATCATTTCTTGCTGCGGAGGAGATTATGACCATTCCTTGATGGTTGCTCGTATGGTGTGATGCAAGCTTTGTTTGAGGGGGAGCAACTCACATGAAGGTGACCGGAGGCCGGTGAGTCAAAATCTGAGACTATTATTGGTGGTTGACTGCTACTTCTCAATTAAGTCGGTAGGGGGAGATTTGTTGGGTCCCTGAGGGAACTTCCCTCCTTAATTGAGAATTTAATGAGAATTCTAGAATAGTGCGGATATGTCTAGAATTCTCCAGATGTGTGTAGAGAAGTATTGAATGTTCTAGAATATTTCGGAGCTTTCTAGAGAGACATGAAATTATCTAGAAGCGTGTGGAAGGGTGTAGAATATTTTAGAACATAGAGGAGCTTTCTAGAGAAGTGTGGAATTATCTAGAATCGTGCGGAAGTGTGTAGAAGCCTCTAGAACATTCTAGAGCAGTGTGGAGTTCTCTAGATCCTTCTAGAAGAATAGAGAAGCATGTGGACACTTCTTGGAAGAATCTAGAAGTATAGTGTTGTATAGAGAATTCTAGAGAAGCTTTGAGGAGAGTATAGTATAAATAAGGGTGAGACTCCTCATTCTTGAAGAGACTTTAGAAGTGAGCCTAAGAGAGAGAGAGCCATGTGAGTGAGGGCCTAGTGAGAGAGAGCGAGCCTCCTTGAGGGATGTAAGAGAGGAGCCTCAAGGAGAGATCTTGAGTAAGGGAGAGCCTCCTTGAGATAGGAGAGTGAGAGTGAAGTAGTCCCATATGCAAAGAGTGATGTGAGCTACCCGTTTACTTGTAAAATATCTCTTGTACATTTCAATAGTATAATACAAAGTGATATTGTTAGATTGAATCTTTGTGTTACGAGTGAGTGGGTGAATGTACAAGAGTCATTTGAGCTGGTGATTCTGGAAGAGGTCGAGAGATCGTGTTTTCCCCAACACAGTGTCATGATTCAACCTAGACCCACTAAAAGATATCGAGTGAAATGAACCCGAAAAACTAATACACAATGTTCCAAGTAATTCACAGAGAAGCACAAAGGTCATGTTTTTTAGTTAAAATATTGACCTAGTGAATGACTTTTAAATCTTTATGTATTACAATCATTACTGTAGTTTTCATACTACCTCCGTCCTCCTAATATTGAGATGGAAGGGAGTGGTGTGGTTTTCAAGAAATGTAGAATTATGTGGTTGATAATGAGTTGATAAAGTGAGAATACAGTAAGAATGAATTAGAGCCACACAAATCCTACCAAATATGGTATGAGACAATAATAGTGGGACATCCAAAAATAGAAAAATGGGACAATTGTGAGGCAACGGAGGGAGAAAAATGGATGTAGGTTTCAATGCCATTGCTAATTTTGATGAGCAAAAAGGTTGATCAGTT